CTAAATACCTCTAAAAACAATAAACTATTCCTCACTTCCACCTCCATCCCTACCCTGTGGGACTTGCTTATTGTGAAATCCACATTGCCAGATCTTCTGCATTAGCCTGTCTCTTACTCTTGCTACTGATGGTGACAGATAAAGGTGAGTTTTCCAGAGGAAATCACCATTTCTTGTCCATGTCTCTATTTTACTTTACTACAAGACTTGTGTATTTAAAAATCTGTTCATTTCCTTTTCCATTCCTTTAGGAACATAGTGAGAAGAAGCAGCGGGTCAGGTTCCAGCTTGAGATCTCTAGCAATCCTGAAGAGCAGCGCAGCAGCATATTGCATCTACAGGAGGCTGTGCGGCAGCATGTGGCCCAGATACGGCAGCTGGAGAAGCAGATGTATTCTATCATGAAGGTAGTCACCTCGCCCATCTGAGGACAGGGAGATCTCCTAGGATGAGGGAGATCTCTCAGTTTCTCCTGTTCTGGCTCCCTAGTCTTTGCAGGATGACAGCAAGAATGAGAACCTGCTTGACCTGAACCAAAAGCTTCAGTTGCAGCTAAACCAGGAGAAGGCCAACCTACAGCTGGAAAGTGAAGAGCTTAATATCCTTATCAGGTGCCACAGCATTCTTTCCGTGCCCTTTTCCTGTGCCCCAGCTGAAGTCAGTTCCTTTTGCCCATGTTCTGATAGTCTTTAGGTCTAGCGTATATTATCAAAGGCTGATGCTGTAGACTCAGGCACCTCTTCTTGAGTGAGCCTTGCTGGACTTGGCCAACAGGCTGAGTACAGGAGAGCCCTTTCTTAGGATTCTTATTTGAGTTATCTCCTGGGAAAGGAGAAAAACAGGTAGTTTGGAAACATTTTTGTGCCCTTGATACTGTGCAACTGAATTAAAAATAAAGTGTCTTGAAGTTGATCAGTAAGGAACACAACTGCAGATATAATCATAGGGGTTGAAAGTAGGAACAGACCACTTTATCAAAAAGCTGTGGAACTGAAAGATGGGATACGTGTTCTCATGGCCCAGGGTGTGAGGAGCAACAAATCTAACGGAAAAAAATTAGGTATTAGCTGTTCTAGAATAGATGCATCTCGGACTTACCTCCTGCATTGTTCTAGGGCATTCCACCCCACCCCCAACCCTAATACTGTTGCCCTTAATTGTCTTTGACCCTCCTGTCCATTTGTAGGTGTTTTAAGGATTTCCAATTGCAGCAGGCTAACAAGATGGAGCTGCGAAAGCAGCAAGAAGACGTGAGTGTGGTCCGCCGCACTGAATTCTACTTTGCTCAGGCACGATGGCGCTTGACAGAGGAAGATGGACAGCTAGGAATTGCTGAACTGGAGCTGCAGCGGTTCCTCTACAGCAAGGTATCAAGTGTATACAATCACACAAAGGCAGCTGTGTTGAGAAACATTGACCTTTCTCAGGAGTCTCACTCACAGAAAGATAAACAGAAAGGGACTGATTATATGATTATTAATGATGGCATTAATGATTAATGATTATTAATGATAGAAACAACAGAGAGAGTGCCACTTGGACACATTTGTTTGTAATATTAAATAATATAGATATAGATGAGCTTGATCAAATGTTTCCCTCATTGAACAAGATTATCCCTAGAAATGTGACCCAGAGGGAAGTAATCTTCCAAGTCCAGCTGAGAATAGAATCATTAATTCTACACTGGCATTCAGCTTTCCTGTAGTTACCCATGGCACGGAGGAGAGGACATTATTCATCATTCTTCTAGTCCCCCAGGGATGTTTGGAAATGAATTGAGACCATTTTTGAATGTCACAGTGATTGGAAAGTACTGCTGGCATCTAGTGCCCATGAGAAATACTGGGTTAGAGGGTGCATTGACCATGAGATTGAAAGAGATAGCAAAGGCATATATAGAAACTAAAAACAAACAGTATACATAGCAATTCTCTAGCAAGCTCCTGAGAAAAGCTTATAGTGGGTTGGGGGTGGGGGTAATCTGTCTTTATAGGTGAATAAGTCTGATGACACAGCAGAACATCTTCTGGAGTTGGGCTGGTTCACTATGAACAACCTCCTCCCCAATGCTGTCTACAAGGCAAGTCTTATTTCCCTATTCCTTGCCCATTCACATGCTTCCTAACACAGGCCATTTGCAGTGACCCTTCCACATAAACCCACTATGGGAAACAATGTGGTTATCTGAGCTGGTGAAAGCTTGCTCAGCTTAGCAAGACCATTGCTTCTTCTCTCAGTCTGCAGAGGATTTGTGGGTTGATTTATCACTCTTTATCCTACAGGTAGTCCTGCGACCCCAGAGCTCCTGCCAGTCTGGGCGACAGCTAGCTCTTCGCCTCTTTAGCAAAGTCCGGCCCCCTGTTGGGGGTATTTCTGTTAAGGAGCACTTTGAGGTTAGTAAAGAGTCCTTTGGGGACTCAGGAACAAAAGGCAGTTAAAAGCTACCTGTGCGTTCTTAATGTTAGGGGTAGGTAAACTGAGGGATGATGTCTGAGCTTAATTGCTTCTTCAGCTTTTTTCCTCTTTAGGTAAATGTGGTGCCTCTCACCATCCAGCTGACACACCAGTTCTTCCATAGAATAATGGGCTTTTTCTTTCCTGGTCGAAGTGTGGAAGATGATGAGGTTGGTGATGAAGAAGATAAGTCCAAACTGGTGACTACTGGTGAGAACTTTAATGGTGGAGCTCCAGAAGACTGGGGTAGCAGCCCCAGAGAAGCTGAAACTTCAGAAAGAAGACAACAGCTGGTGTGCTTGATTTTTCATAGGAATACCAGTGGTGAAGCCTCGGCAGCTGATTGCAACAGAAGATGCAGCACCACTGGGCCCTGGGAAGGGTGTGGCACAGGGCTTGAATCGGAGTTCTGGGGTCAGAAGATCATTTCGCAAAGCACCTGAGGTACCAGACATGCCCCTGATGATAGAAAAATGGGAGAGTCCTGGGGTACTCTCGCCTGTCTGGGGATTTCTTCTGTTTCCTTTGAATCTACTCCAGGGGTGAAAGGAGACAAGAGATGTTTGAGGTCCTGAGTTTTTGTGATGGTTTAAGGGGCTCACACTTCTTTCCTGCCTTTCCTAGCACCCTGTGGATGATATTGACAAGATGAAAGAGCGAGCTGCCATGAACAACTCCTTCATCTACATAAAGATCCCACAGGTTCCACTCTGCGTTAGCTACAAGGTCTGCCCTTCTCCAGTGCTTTCTAGAACAGTGTGGGAAGGGTTCCAGATAAGATCAGAGATTAAAAACCGGGAGATAGTCAACTTGTGAAGCTGGTCTGTGGGTGATAAATCTGTTGTTCCCTCTGCTGCCCTCAGGAATCAGTACCATTATCAGACTGAGAGCAGGGGAAATCAGTATCTATAGGTTGCTGCTGCAGGCAGATACTAGGTTTGGACTCTAGTACTAAGCTGGCTTAGACTAAAAATCGCAGCAGATATATTTTTTTCCCTCTTCTTCCCTCTTCCCCTTTTTCTTGCAGGGTGAGAAGAATAGTGTGGACTGGGGTGACCTTAACCTAGTGCTGCCCTGTCTGGAGTACCACAACAACACATGGACGTGGCTAGACTTTGCCATGGCTGTCAAGAGGGATAGCCGCAAAGCCCTGGTTGCCCAGGTATCCCGGCAGAGTTCATGGCTGTTTGGTTAGCAGGGGCTGGCAAGCAGATCCTCTGCTCATGAGCATTTCATTGTAAGATGTATTAACAAAGAGCCTTGGGAAGGGGCAGGTGAATGAAGTGACTTTTGTCCCTGCCGTCTCCATGACTTTGCTCAGATAATTAAATTGAACGTTTAGTGTTTTATATATGTTAACTACTGTTGATTTTTAGGAAACAGGTATGACAACTTGATGTTTAGAATGGGTTCTAATAGACTGTAAGCTTCTTGAAAGCAGAGATCATTTTATAATTTTAATTGCCCCATTGTGCCTTCATGTAAGTTTAATAAATCTTTATTGACTTGGTCCACTTGATTTATTCTGCCTGTCCCATTAATATTTACCTTCCCTTTTACTCCTCTCTAACCTATCAGGTAATCAAAGAGAAGCTAAGGCTGAAGCCTGCAACAGGGTCTGAGGTCCGGGGAAAGCTAGAAGCTAAATCGGACCTCAACATGCAACAGCAGGAAGAGGAGGAGAAAGCCCGGCTCCTCATCGGTTTAAGTGTGGGCAACAAGAATCCTGGCAAGAAGTCCATCTTTGGCAGGCGCAAGTGATCCGGCAATCCGAGAGAGGCTGCAGTACAGGATTTGACTCTGGCTCAGGCCCCAGGGACTTGGGGGATGGGAGGTGCTTCCCTTCATCCTTCAGGATATGTGGGGGTTAGGAGCCTACAGGGTACTGTGGAGAGACGCCTTGCTCTTTAGCAGCTGGCCTGTTCCCTGCAGAACATGGTGGATAATGCTGAGTTCTACCTCACACTGATCAGCAGGCCCAGGGCCAGAGGTATCAAGAGAGCAAGATCAAGAGAATGCCCCAGGGCTAGAATCTGCTTACCTTGGGGTCAGTTGAAAGGGTGGGGGGACAGTTCTGATCAAGTGTGATAAATTTTTATAAATAGACATATATATATATATATATATAAATATACATATATATTTCTACGTGTTAACTGCTTTCCCTCTGTGCCAGAAAGTGGAGGGGGTTTATCGTCTATCCCTCATTCCACTGCCTTCTATGAAAGAGGTATTAGTGTTCTGAGGGAAATCAGCCCCTCCCTAATCTGTGCCAAACTCACTTGAGAGAATGGCAGTAGGAGACAGGGCTGGCCATGGGTCCCTCCCCCTGGGATATCCCCTGAAGAGTGGTAAAAAATGATTTAAAGAGAAAAAAATATATTTTAAATTTGATGCTGGTTTTTTTTTTTTTGGATTGTATTGAGTGCATGGTTTCAACCTGTATCCTTCCCTCCCCATCAACCCAAGATACACCTTCTAGCTGCAACTCTAATGAGGGTGGCCTCTTCCCTCCTGCCCAAAGCTCTGTCACAGATACCTCCCAGTTCTGAGGTAACACTGGTCCCATGCTGATAACAGCTCTTGAGACCAGTGCACATTTTAGTCCTGGCTCTAAGCCTATTCTTAACTAGGGGGCATAGAATTTGGAGATAAGGGTGAAGTTTGGCTGCATTATTTGCATCTCTAGTCATGAACTGCAAAGAAAATGCAGGGCTCATGTGTAATGCAGCATGGGGTGGGGGAGGGAGGAACTGCTTATGTAACTGGGACAGCAGATTTAGCAGGAGAGGAGGCAGAGGCTGGGGATGGGAGCAGTGAGCTGTCGGCAGGGGCAACATGTCCAGATGGCTGCTCCTCGTAAGGTAGGCTATGGGGTCTGACAGCCTGTTTAGGGGAGGTGAAGGAGGCATGGGAACTGACTGGTGATGTTAGGTGTCCATTATACGGGTGGGGCGGGGAGGTTTTACCATGAAAGTATCCCAGCCTTATAATGAGAGGTACAGGCTGAATCTCTGGTGGGGAAAATGTCTAAATACTGCTTTCCTAGAGGATTTTAATTAGGTCCAAGAAACCTAGGTAGGCCTTGGCCCAAAGCAAGGGTAGTGACACTTTTGCCTGGGGCTTAAAAATACATCTCTAGGGTTGAGATTTGAAGGAGTGCCTGCTAAGATAGGCAGAACTTGTAATGCCTCAGGGGCAGAAGCTTTAGTGGCTCCCTTGGTTCTCAGCAGGGTGGCAACAACCGGGGCCCCTGGGTCCGAGGCTGGAGGAGCCTCTGGTCAGGCATGGGGACAACCAGATCAGGTCTGGATGAGCTGTGGGGACTTCAGAGGCATCAGTGCCTGCACCAGGAATCTCTGGAGCCAGCCCCACTGCTAGTAGAGAAGCCTCTGCCTGAATGGCCAGTGCCTCAGTTCATCAACCTCTTTCTGCCGGAGTTTCCCATTAGGCCCCTTAGGGGGCATCAGCAGCTGAAGGTAGGTCAATGGAATCCTTGGAAAGAGTCTCAGTCTTGGGGAGAAATCTAGAAACAACCAGAGTCTCAGTTGCCCTGTTCTCCATTTCTCTGTACAGATTTTAGGCCTTGTGGCTAAAGGCTCCTTTGGAACTGTCCTCAAGGTGCTAGACTGTGGCCAGAAAGCAGTATTTGCAGTGAAGGTAGGGACCTAGGTACAATTTCACATTATTTTCTGGTCCCTGCCTCCAATCTTGATTCCAGAAAGGTTGGGAGGAATTCAATAGTACTATTTCCTTCTAGGGGTCATCACGCCTCTCCTTTTATAGGTGGTGCCCAAGGTAAAGGTCCTACAGAGGGACATCCTGAGGCAGTGTAAAGAGGAGGTTAGCATCCAGGTATGCACAGAGCCCTGGAAAAGATCCTATGAAGGACTAAACCATAGGTGGAGAAAGCACCTTTCTTGTCCAACTGTCTTGTTCTTCCTGGTTCTGATCCCTCCCTGTGCTTCAACCAGAGCAGATCCCAGGAAAAGAAGCTACAGGCAGAGTAATTCTGGGTCCTGCCAGGAAAATCTCTCCAGCATGTCCCAGTGTGTTCTATAGTACTGAGATTACCAGGCAGGCATGCCCAACTATTTAGTTCACCTGAAGTGAGAGATGGAAGCATCTGTTTCCTTTCTGCACAACTAGGTAAATCCTGACTTGTTGGTTGCCTTGATCCTCAGTGACCCTGTTCCTAACTTCCTGTCTTCTTCATTCATAGCGAAAGATCAACCATCCTTTCATACACAGTCTGGGGGACAGCTGGCAGGGAAAACGGCACCTCTTCATTAGTGAGTGACTGGCTTCTCTCCTCATTCCCAGGGGTCCTTCTACTGTACTCCGCACCTGAGATTACCCATCCCTTTGGTCTGTTCTACCTTTGCTCTGTTCCCCTTCTCATAGTACTTTCTCCCAGAGGGAAGAGAGAATAGCAGGTGGCATCAGCTTGGGCAGGAGGCATACAATGCCTTGAGCCCAGGCCTAGTAGCCTCCAAATATTGCCTAGACTTCTGGTGCTTTGCAGTGTGCAGCTACTGCAGCACAGACCTGCACTCCCTGTGGTCCACTGTTGGCTGCTTTGCTGAGGCTTCCATCCGCCTCTTTGCTGCTGAGCTGGTCCTGGTGCTGTGTAAGTGAAACAGAAGTGGTAATGGAAGTAAGGGAAGAATTAAGGGGGGAGGGAAGCAGAGAGAGGAGAACTGATACTAACTTTAGATGTCAAAGAACAGGGATAGGAATGGGGTGGGAGCTACCAGGGAAACTGAAAAGGACAGGAGACCTTCAGCACACACCATGCTTGCTGTCATCCACAGGTTATCTCCATGACTTGGGCATCATCCATCGAGATGTGAAGGTAGTTAAATACTTTTTCTTTTTGTCTGAGGAGGGATTTCAGTAAGAAGTTGCAACAGGTCCAAGAAATCTGCTGAGAACAGTTGACCTTGGGGCCTTCATGGGTGTTGAGGAATTTGGACAAGGGCCCTCCAAGTATAGTTGAATGCGGAGTAAAGTGTCTTCAGGTGGGAGGTGTACAGGATGAAAGAGGGTTGAAAGGAAGAGGATGAATAATAACTTCTCACCTGTGATTTTTCAGATGGAGAATATCCTTCTGGATGAGCGAGGTAAGTCCTTTTCTTTTCCTAGTCCCAGAATGAGAGGTACCTCAGACTGGGATTAAGTCACAGCTGAAGAGACATGGAATAGAGTGGTGCTGACGCCTTATTTTTCACAGGCCATCTGAAATTGACAGACTTCGGTCTGTCCCGCCACCTGCCCCAGGGAGCCCGAGCGTATACTATCTGTGGCACTCTTCAGTACATGGGTGAGAGAGAGGCTGAAGCTGATGGGTAAGCATTGGGAAGGAGGATAGCCAACAGATGTCAATGACAAGTATTTTTCAAATCTGTAGCCCCAGAGGTCCTGAGTGGAGGGCCTTACAACCATGCTGCTGATTGGTGGTCCCTGGGTATCTTGCTTTTCTCTCTGGCAACTGGAAAGGTGAGAGAATGGTAGTGATGTTTGGCAGAGAAGAGAGGAGTTGCCCTGTGGTGGGAAGAAGGAAGACCTTAGGAAATCTTGCTTTATTCTTACAAAGCAATGACACCCTCCCATCCTTAACTCAGTTCCCAGTGCCCGCAGAGAGAGATCATGTGGCCATGTTGGCAAGTGTGACCCACTATGACTCTGAGATCCCAGCTTCTCTTAACCAGGGGCTTTCACTCCTGCTCCATGAGGTAAGGGTGAGCTTTACTTTCCTTCTTGACTACAAACTGTTCACTTTTTTCCCTATCATTGAAGTGATATTTCCTCATTCCTCTGATTAATTATTGTTGGTGGGAGGCGGTGGCAGGGGGAGCTTCAACTTGATCAAGTACTAACCTCACTACTTGCCCTCTAAGCAGCACTTCAAATTTTATTCGTCCTCCAAAGCTCCTCCCCATCTGTAACAGGTCACTTCTGAGAGAGTGGGCCACAGCTCCTTTATATCCTACCTTTGCCCCCAAATTAGCCTGTTTCTCCCACTTTTCCACATTCTCTACTCTTTCGGGTTCTTCTCCCTGCCCTCCACAGATCCATGAACTTATAATTTCTTTCTCCTTTTCCAGCTTCTCTGTTCAGTCCTTTTCCTATCCCAGTCCCTCATCCTTCATGCTTTATTTCCCTTCAGCTCTTATGCCAGAATCCCCTCCACCGTCTACGTTATTTGCATCACTTCCAGGTCCACCCTTTCTTTCGGGGTGTGGCCTTTGACCCAGAGCTCCTACAGAAGCATCCAGTGAACTTTGTCATGGAAACACAAGCTACCCAGCCCAGTCCATCATCGGAGTCTATGTTCTTCAAGGACTTTGACTGTAACCTGGAGTCCTACCTGGTCCACCTCAGCCTTGCATGAGCTCCTCTACTGTAGATGGGGGCCATCTAGGAACCTGAGGACCTCTTCCAGTATCAACTCAGTATGACCACCTACATAATCCAGTTTGTTTTTACTTTGCAGCGTCTTATCATTCTGTTAATGTAGGTGCTGGACCAGAGTTCAGATCTTGGGCATTCTGCTATTGGCAGCTATGGTGTCCTAGTCCTTACCCCATCATACAGCCCATCTCTCAATTTAACATCTCAGATCACAATGTTGACCTTTTCCATTGTTTCATTTCTCCAGTGCTTATACCCTGAAGCTTTTAGCCAGAAGCTTATTCCACTTTTCCTTCTCCTTGTTTCTCTGCCATGTTTCCTTTTGTGAGCAAAAATAACACTTCATGGGTTCCAAAGGTGCTATTTTGTGTTGAATAGTCCTGTCAGAAGCAGTATGAATGTTTTTCAGAGGTCTCAAAAGCTAGCATTTCAATCCCTAAATATGCAGGTAAAACATATGATCTAGGGGCTCAAAGGCAGTCTAATTTTTAAAAATTTAAAAAGTCTGATAGCCTACTGTGAGGAAGAGAATAAGAAATGAAACATGGGTGGGTTAAATGTCCCTTCTAGGGGTAATTAACATAGCTATCCACTTTTTCCCCAAAACAAAACCTCTTTGAAAGACATAAGGATTCTTTTTTAAAAAATTTATTTATTTTATTAATTTTGGGTGGCGGGAGGAGGTAGTTATTTTATTTTATTTTAATTAATTAATTAATTAATTTCAATCCCCAGGATGGATTGAACCTAGGACCTTGTGCATGCTAAGCATGTGCTCTACCACTTGAACTATACCCTCCCCTCTGAGATAAGGATTCTTAAACTGATCATTTTCCTAGATGGCCCAGGATTCAGTTTGTGATGGGCAAGCCAAGGGGGTTATGACATCAACCTTGAGATTTAAGGTTAGAGATGTAACTCAGGAATGTTTTCCTTTAGTAAGGGAAATTATCTTGACCTTAAATTTGTATATATTTCTGGCCTTTATGACTTCTTTTCATTTTTCTTAAACTAACTTCTGAAAAGCTTCATTTTCATTATTTTTTAGTTATATCTGATCTCTCTTTTCAGACCAAAGAGTCTGGGAAGTACTCTGTGTAGTATTTATAGTCATTTTGTTGCTGGATTAAGCCAGATTTTTCCCTGTACATAGCTGGCATTTTTTTGGCCTCTGCAGAACTGCTTTTTCTGGATTGCACTTTGGCAATCCATATGAAAATCCCTATGAAATTTAATTGTTGTAGATACCGTAAAGGGTTGTTTATCATTATAATTCATAACTCATAATGTTCTATTTAGGATACTTGGGAGAATTTCCTTTGAACTCAGTTATGCTTTTCCTGAATTGCTGTTTGGTTTTTATCTTCAAGACACTATATATTCAACTGACTCTATTTTTCTTTCCATACTGATGCTAGACCACTTAGAGCCCAGTTTGTGGCCCACCTTCAGAAAGTGTTGAGGACCTCATGTTATGTGTTTTGTATGCCAGCCACGTTCTTGGTTCCATCTTCCTTTTCTACGTTTACTTTCCTCATTCTCATTTTTCTGTTTTAATCTTTTTTTAAAAATTTTATTAGATTATCTGCATCTTTGTAAGCCTTTTAGAATGAGGTTAGGGTATAAATAAATAAAAGAATGTATCCTTAATCCTTTTGATTATCTCATTTGTTTCTCTTTAGATACTTTTTTAGCTTTATTATATATTTTAAAAGTTTTAATAACCAGAACTTCACATTGGATAAAAACTCTGAATACTAAGAATAGGAATTAATGGCTTCTAAAATAGTAGTTAAGAGTATTAGATTGGAATTTAGGAGACCTGGTGCCTTGATCCACCAATAAATATCTCAGTGTCTTTATACAAGTCATTTTAACTCTGGATTTTAGTTTCAACTAATGTATAAATGAGGGGATTATAACCACTGGTTCTTAATTGTGGGGGATGAGTTTCAGATTTCTGTGATGTTGTTTCAAAGGGCAGATGCAGATGATTTTATGACACTGTGTGTTTGGCCCAGTGTTAATGTTTAGGTAACCCAACATTATATAGCCTCTCTGATCACAGCAGCATATTGGGTTAAGTTCTTTTGGACATGGTTAACATAATGTCACTAGGGTCCCTTTCCTAGGTCATGTTAGATAGCTTAGAGACTGTGATCATGTAAGTGTAGTTTGAATCATTTCTTATCATATGAGGACATTTTTTAACATACTCTCTTCAATCAGTGGTGCATTACAGCAGTGATTCTCAGAGTAGAATGGAGGTAGTGATAGAAAATCAAAGTTTCAGAAAATATAACTTGAAACAGCACTGCTTCCACTCCTCGCCCTACCCCTAGTTTTGATATGCTTATCCCTGGAAGGCAGTCTTTCTTGCCACCCTCCATCCTCATTCAGAATCACTGACCTTTAAATATGATACCTTCTACTTATTCACATGAAATTCAGTTTGAAAAAAATTTTTATATACAACCTGAAATGATCTTTTAGTAGTCCTATATTTTGATTTTTCATTACCTAGAAGAAATCAGATATACCTTTAAGTATGGATATTTTATTCTACTCCTTTCTGTCTTTTCTAAGAATTTAAGATTAGTCTTAACACCAGTTCTCATATTCTTCTTTTGAGAAAAGTGTCCTTACAGTTCTACTTAGTGTTTTTTATGCCTAACCTAAGTTATTTTATCATATATTGATCTGTTCATTTGTTCACTTGTTCATTGATTTAATAAACTGGTAACCTCAATTTCTTGATTTACTTCTTTAAATAGTCTTCAATGTAAAAATCTTGTCAAAGCTTGAAAAATTTTTTAATTAAATAAAATCATATTCACTGTGTTATTGGCCCCTGTAATGGGCTGAATTGTGCTGCCTCCCTATTCATATATTGAAATCCTAATCCCCAGTACTTCAGAATGTGACTGTATTTGGAGATAGGGTCTTTACAGGCATAATTAAGTTAAAATAAGGTCTTATGGGTGGGCCCTAATCCTATATGACTGGTGTCCTTATAAAGAAGAGGAAATTAGGAAACAGACAAACACACAGGGAAAACCATGTGAATATATAGGGAGAAGACAGCCAACTACAAGCCAGTGAAAGAGGTCTCAGAAGAAACCAACCCTGCAGACACCTCGATATCAGACTTCTAGCCTCCAGAATTGTGAGAAAATATATTTCTGTTGTTTAAGCCACCCAGTCTGTGGTACTTTGTTATAACAGCCCAAGCAAACAATGGAGAATTGTGATAAGATTAATCAGGAATGACTATTTTACTTACAAAAAAGCATGCTACCTTCTTCCCTATAGGTTGGTTTTGTTTATATTATGAGATATCATTATTTCAGATTTCATTGGCCTCTCCATGAGTTTTACTGGTTTATGGAGCCCCACTGATTAGCAGCTGTCACACTGCCTCCTTTGTTCAGTACCTCATCATACACAGTAGCAGGGCTAATAATTCCAGTTTTATCCTTGAGTTCACTCAGAATTGCCTAGTGGATACTTAGAGGTGCTGTCTGGGCTATGTAATTATATTTTTGCAAATTAAACACTCTCTAATCCTAAAATTTAAAAACTACATTGTTTCTAAAAGTTGGACTCTTACTTCACATCATATACAAAACTTAATTTTAGCTACATCTAGCAATTAAATGTGATCATCAAAACATTAAAAATCTTAGAACATCTGGGAGACTAGGCCTACAAACAGATGGAGGAGATAACTTAAACCAAGACAGAAAATGAAAACACTATAAAAGAAAAAAATATTTACATAAAAAACTTGATGAATGAATCAACAGGATAAGAAATCCAGATGTTCTGAAAGGAAAGAAACACCTTGACCATAAAAGTTTTATCTTTGTGTGGCCAAAGATATCATTAATAAAGTCAAAGGACAAAAAATAGATCTAAAGAAAAATATTTGCAATGTGATGACAATGTCTGTAACACAGAACTCTTACAAATTAGAAAAGAAAAATAAACTTTTTTAAAGAAGGGCAAGGAAGATGACGTAATGAATCAATTAATTAGATCTGTAATAGTGTTAAGCTCAGAAGGCTCTGTATAAGATACTGAGTGGGGGAAAAAATGCAGAAAGTGTAAGAAATGATGCCATTTCTGTAGAGGACTCAATGCTTTCTTCCTCGTGTGTGTGTGTGAGAGAGAGAGAGTGAGAGAGAGATAGAGACAGAGACAGAGACAGAAAGAGGGAGACAATGTGAAAAAGAAAACCTGGAAGGGAGAGAGGAGTAATGCAAGTGTAAAGAAAAGGGGAAAAAAAGGCACTAGGCCTCAACCCCATAGACCCCAGTTTGCACATCAATTAATTTGGGGGAAAAAAATAAAAACAAAATGTGTGTATATGTGTGTGCACACATATGTTTTTGTAAATGTATACACACTATTGTTTATCTCAAGTGGGTATAATGGATGGAGGAGGCTTTGCCTTTAATATGTCTTTGCATTGTATTGTTTCATTTGCTACAAGCATCTATTTTTTATCATTTGAAAAACACCAAATTAAAAAAAATCATACAAAACACCAACAAATTAATTCTGCTTATGTTGCCTATTTACAATAGTATTTTCCCTTCCTCTACCTCTCCACATACCTCCTAATTTGCTGCTGGAAGCAACATATCCCTTTGGCTACTCACCTGACATCTGACATACCAACTGCAACAAGGACTAACCATTCATTCCAAGTCACACTTTCTATAATAAGCTTTCACTACTGGCACTTAAAGAGTTTTCTGTCTTGGTTTTTCTGCCCCTTCACCCTTATTTTATTTGCTGGATCTTTTGGATTGACTAGAAGTACATATACCTTGGGATTCCCTCTGCTGAGTCTTGGGGAATCCCAGGCTCAAGTTTGTGTTCTTATGTTGTTTTTCTCCCAGTTTTCCATTCAAACAACTGTTATCTTTACTGCCTTTAGGCTGGGGCCATTATGTTTTTAGAGTGGTGTTGTCCAATAGAAATAATATAAGTCTCATAAATAATTTAAAATTTGCTAGTAGTCACATTAAAAATTAGGTAGAAAGAAAGATGAAATAAATTTTAATGTAATTTAACCTGATCTATCTAAAATGTTTCAACATGTAATCAATATTTAAAAATAAGATATTTTACATCCTTTTTTTTCATACAAAGTCATCGAAATTCAGTTTGTATTTTACACCTATAACACATCTCAATTTGGACTAGCCACATTTGAAGTGCTCAATAGCCACATGTGGCTACTGGCTACGGTACTGGACAACACAGTTCTAGAGGAGCCCCTCCCCTGAGAGCCTTGTAGTTAATAATACAGTTTTTCCTGTTTGGATTATTGCCTTTTCCAAATTCATTAAGACCTCAGAGTGTAAATAAGGTGCTGGGAGTGTTAAAAGGAACATAATTTATCATAAACTATAACTCTAAATACTTACCTTTAGGCTGTTGCCAAAAATCAGCTCCATCTGCGGTAGCTAATTTCCCGCACTGGGGATTCAAGCGACAGTAGAATCCTTAGTATGTTGTTAGTGTGGGTTGCTCGCTTGACTCGACCATTTGCTACCTGTGGGGCATTGGGCAAAAGACATTATTTGTGACTCAGTTCCTTCATCTGTAAAATGGGGATATTTCCGGTACCTACTTCATAGGCCCTTGTGGGGATTAAAGGAAGTTTACGTATAACTAAAGTGGTAGAGCTCATGCTTAGTCTGGGTTCAATCCCCAGTACGTCCGTTAAAAATAAGTAAATAAAACCTAGTTACCCACCCCAATAAACCAAAACAAACAAAAAGGATTAAAGCCTTTTGGCAGAGTGCCAGGTGCCTAATAAGTGCTCAGTGCTTGTGACCTATTACTGTTAAACTTGTAGCCGGTTCTGAGGGAAGTCCCAAGAAAACACAGGAAATCCTGAAAAGGCTAAATTACAGCGCAGCTTGAGAACCACACCTCAGGCCAACGCAGACGCAGGACCTATGCGCGGACCAACCAGCCTACGTGAAAAACTTCCCACTCACCTTCCCTTCTAGACCTCAGGCCGGCTCCTTGGTCAGGGCTGAGGTAACTGGTTTTCCTCAGGGAAACCTGAGGAGAGACTTCCTAAGGCCAGCCGGCGAAGGCAGCTTTCCCGATAGTGTTAGGGTGGCTTACTGGAAGCACTAGGGATGGACTCCTCTACTGTCCAGCTACCTGGGAGCCCTCGCCGAGGTGAGGCAGGAATACCCGGCGCCTTGGGCCTGGGGCGCGTCCCAACTGCCGCCCGCGTAGATGGTGGGGGAATCAGCCGCCAGCGAGCGCACCTTGGCCAGGGCGGGGCCAACGCAGGCCCCGCCCCGCGCCCGCTGGACGCACTGAGGCCTCACAGCCAATCGGGAAGCGCGGAGCAGGTTCAAATAAAGACGGCGGGTGAGCATGGCGTCACCTCTAGGGTCCGGGAGGTGATCGCCTAGCGTTATGCGTTGAAGATGTGGCGGGTGAAAAAACTAAATCTTATCCTGTCGCCTTCGCCCCAACCGGTGAGTGGAAGGGCCTCATGGAGAGAGAGAGAGAGAGAGCTGGGCTGGGGTTTCGGGGCGGAGGCGCTGGCAGTGCCGAGCGTGGTGAAAAGTTGGGTCCAGCCTGGGGCGGAGGGCGGGGGGCGTGTGGAGTCTTTCTGGTCCTGATGTTCGGAGGACTGGGGTTGGAGCGTACTCTGCTTATTGCTCGTGAGCTTCTTAGGGAGGGAGGAGAGCTTCTTAGGGCAGGCTGGCAGAGCTCAGGCTTTATCACATTTTATCTTTCTTAGGGAAAACCAGCTATGAGAACACCTCTCCGAGAACTTATCCTGCAGCCTGGTGCCCTCACCAGCTCTGGAAAAGGGCCCCCTATTGGGGGATCCTCGCCAACCCCACCACTGTGCAAACTGGGGTTGCAGGTGAGATTCGCCTGCCCAGCTAGCTTCTCGACTGGGCTCCTTGCCGAGGCCGAGAGCTCAGAGGAACAGAGGGCCAGGGCTTGAACGTAATTAATAACGGTAATGATGTTTTCTACCTCGGTGACATCCATTTACAGCTATTCAGGCCAACAGAGAGATGCCCTGGGGTGGTTAGAAGAAATCCACTGAGAACCGGCACCTCTATTTAGCTGTGAGTTTTTATCACCTCCTCCCTACTTCAGTCTATCAAAGTGATAGAAGTACTATCACTTTGACTCGTGGTCTCTCTCTAATAGGGATTCACTTATGGAGAAGTCAGCTGCAAGAATGAGAGGTAGTCAAAACTCCTCAGGGGTCAAGTTACACCACTGGAAGGCAGGACACGGGCCACCATAGTTAGTTCCCCTTTTAGAATTGCCCTCACTAATTTGTACTTTTGTGAAAGGTCTTGAGAGAAATGAGGATTGACTATATATTTCTCTGCATGCTGCTTTTCTCATTAGTAATGTGGTTTAAATTCTTCCATGTCAACTGGCGTAGAAATAATTCATAAGATACTATAGTATGCATGGATCATAATTTATTCATAAATGGTCATTTATTTTTCCACTTTTTTTGCTTCTGCAAACAATGCTAACATAAATATCTTTGTACTGATACTTTTATTTCAATGAGATACATTTTCAGGAGTTGGATTATTGGTTTGAAGAAAAGATATTTTTAATTTTAATAAATTTTGCCAGATCGCTATCTAAAATAGCTATTAGAATTCATATTTTCTCCAGCATTATATGAGGATTTCCATTTCCCCACATCACCTCATGTAAGTCTAATTTTTTCTTTTTTCTTTCTTTCTTTTTTTTTTGGTAAATGGTCTTTTTAGCTAAAGCTTCTAAAATAGTTTTGTTTTCCTGATAATTCAGAAATTTTATTGTTTCTTGTCAATCCTGCTTGGAACTTGGTGAGACATTTCATAATGCAAACTCAGCTCTTTCTTTACCTTAGAGAAATTTTCTTCTAATACTTGTTAATCAGTGCCTCACCTGTACATGTTCTCTTTTCTCCTGGAACTTCTTTTATTCACATGTTAGGTTTGCTGGATTTAGCTTCCAATTCTTTTAGCTTTTCTCTCAGATTTACATTTCTTTTTATTTTTGTTTTTAAGATATTTCTCCCACTTGATTGTCCAGCCCAGTAATTCCAGTCTCAACTCTGATCATCCTCTTTCAATTCATATTACTGAAATTTTTTGTTTAAAAATTATATTTATTATTTCCAGAACATCTTTGTGTATATGAGTTGTACTCAGATCTTCTTACATATTCATATAGTTTTTGGTTCAAATAGACATGTGTTTCTTCCATCAGCTGTGTTTTCCTAACTATCTTAGGTTTGTCCTTTCTCTGGCTACTAGGTCCACTTAAGTACATTCCTATTTTCCTTCATGTTCATTGAGTCTCAGGACTAGCAACCCTACAAGTGGTAGAGAGTGCAGTGGTCTTTGTCCCTGTGAACCAGCAGCAGGGAGCTTGTCAGTCCCTTATCTGGGCACACCAGGAAGAGGTCTTTCTGCTCTTTATTATCCTCTGCTAAAAAGGCTAGAACTCTTCAAATCCCAAGAGTTGAATTGCTTCAAGCCATGTGTTCAGGACACCCTCAGCTTTCGGGGCGAAGGAGACTAACTAGGTCACTGGCACAGGTTGATGCTGCCCTTTCTCCCTAGGGTCCATGGATCTCTGTGGGCCAAGTGCTCTCTAACTCTAGTCCCCAGTTTCTCATCTGCTCCAAAAGGAAGAAAATCATATACCAACTCTAGATTTTGGCAGAACTTGACCCAGGGACCCTTCCTACCTAGTCCCATAGAAGTGAATTTGAGTTAGGATTGGAGAAGAGTGGGGTCACTTTCAAGCTACCATCTCCCCATGTTATGGATAGATTATTTTAGCCTTGTTTATACTGTGACCTGTTCACTTGGAAGGACCCCAAAGGGCTTCCCAGCTTTTGTACTAGGTCTCTGTAGTACGTAGCAAGTCTTAGCCAACTTTTTACCTAAGCAAAGGTAATGAGAACTCTTTCCTTTTTTGAGTTCAGACAGTATCCTGCACCCATAATTGTACTTTGAGAACCAGAATTGACTGTCTTAGTCAACTACTTTTGTTTCTGTTTGCAGGAAGACAGCAACAACTTATCTCCACTGGATTTTGTCAATGCTAAGAAGATAGACTCCTCTTCAGAACAGTTCAGCCATTCCTCAAAGTGGCTTGAAGCTTGTCAACATGAATCAGATGAGCAGCCCCTAAATCTGATGCCCCAAACCAACTCTACTCCCAAAACATCTGAGGAAGCTGTAGACCCACTGGATGACAATGTGGATAAAACCATGGTCCTTGTGCCGTCTCCAGGGGGGCAGCAGCAAGACATTATACTTGAGGCCCATTTAGATGCCGTGGCAGAGACATACAGCTTCTCTCTAGATGAGCCCTTGAGGCCAGGAGACCTGCTGAGAAAGGAGGTGGCACCCTGCAAGGAAGACAACTTTTCAGAAATTGTTCCTGCTCTGCGTGAGAAACCTATATTTCAGGATCCTCCATCTCATCTCTTAGAGTACCCACCAAATCCCTGTTCTGAGCAACAGCTACACTGCTCCAAGGAAAGCCTGAAGGACAGTAGCACTGAGGCTGTACCTGAGGACGTAGTCCCTTCTGAAAGTAATGCTTTCTTGCCTTCTTCTGTGCTCTGGCTTTCCCCTTCAACTGCCTTAGCAACAGATTTTCCTGTCAGTCATGTGGACCCAGAGGAGGAATTTGTAGAGCACAGAGCTGTAGAGGAGAGAGAAATGAGCTTTCCCACACTCCCCGAGGAGGCTGAATTGGGAGATCAAGCACCTATCTCAAATATGGAAGATATTCCATCCACATGCCTGACCCCAAATCCAGGAGAAATGGAATCTCAGGCAGCTCCAGAGCCTGCCATGGAAGATGCTGGTAGGATTCCCATCTCTGATACAGGGCCTTGGATGTCCCCCCTGGCCTGGCTGGAAAAGGGTGTAAATACCTCTGTCATGCTGGAAAATCTCCGCCAGAGCTTATCACTTCCCTCTGCGTTTCGGGATGCTGCGATTGGCACTACCCCTTTCTCTGTTTGCTCGGTGGGGACTTGGTTTACTCCCCCAACACAACAGGAGAAGAGTACAAACACATCCCAGACAGGCTTGGTGGGCACCAAGGACAGTACTTCTGAGACAGAGCACCTCCTGTGGGGGTAAGTGTCTCTGTATCTTTGTGCTCCAGGGCTTCATTCACCTTGACCTGCCTCTCCCATCCCTTTCGTTCTTCTTCTCATGTTCTTCTCTTCCTGCTGCAGCCGTCCTCCAGATCTGACTGCCCTGTCTCGACATGACCTGGAAGATAACCTGCTGAACTCTCTTATCATTCTGGAGATTCTCTCCCGCCAGCTGCGGGACTGGAAGAGCCAGCTGACTAGCCCTCGCCCAGAAGTTCAGGACAGCAGTGCACAGACTGACACCCCTCCCAGTGGGGTAAGAAGGTTCCTTCCAAAGTGTGGAGGATCCCAGTGAACACTCTTAGAATATATATTAAAGTTAAGGGTCTGGAAAATCCCTTAGAGCTGTGGGTACTCACTGTACCCCTGGGGTACATCAAAACTTTCCAAGGAATGCAAGCAAGGAAAGTTTCAGAGGAATCAGTTTCTAGATCTTTGTCTTCCAAATGCACTCTTTACTAATTTTTTTCTTTCCTACTTCCCTTTTCTCAGTTGCCCTTGCCCACTTTACTGACTTTACTATAAAAAAGGAGCATATTTCTACCTGTCCTTAATCTTACGTTGTGAAGGGATAGCATTCAAAGGACAAGAGAAAATATTTGTACACATGCTGAGAAAGCAATTGACTGCAATGATTATGTAACATGGCATTTTTGCATGCTTTCAACAAAATTGAAGGAGTTGACTTTAATTATGTCAGTGGATCATTAAAATTTTTTGATGGAGTTCACTACAAGATTTTTGGCATATATCTCCAAAGGAGCACCTAGAATTGGGTGGCATGCCTTCTTTCATTCCTACTTATTACCATTATTTATGTGAAGAAGTTTTCTCACAAAATTTTACATCTATAAAAATGGACAATAGGCATAGAATTGTTGCTGAACCACATCTTACTGTAGGAATTATAGTAATCCACAGACACATGAACTAGTAAGTGGAAGGAAGCTCCATC